CTACATATTCTAAAACCCCAAAATAAGGTTTGGGGTAGACCCATCGTCGTTTGACTCTCCGTTGAGCCATGCGAAAAGTTCTATTCATTCGAAACCGTTAAATTGATACGCAGTAGATGAATGTCAAACGACGACGAGTTCATCCAAAATTTTGTGTGTTGTGGTTTTGTAGAATATGTAGGGCAAAGTCAACGGAGGCGGATCATCCACACATGGTAGCTCACTCATGTGATTTTAGGCCGCGTCCTAGATGATTATCTACAGCGGTCACCTAGGAACACTTCTCCCCCTATATATAGTATATATATATAATATATATATATATATATATTAAATATATATATATATATATAATATATATGTATATACTATATATATATATAATATATATATAGAGAGGTTAAAACATTTTGTGGACATAGGCCTCATTGATATATCTACTCCTCTATAGTACAACAGGAGAACCAAGATTCACTATTCATGCTACAGTAATATGTTACTATCGACATTATTTACCCGTAGAAAACATGAACTGACTGGTGGTTTTCTGAAAAAAAAAATAATGTTAGCACAAGAGAATACTGTAGCCAGAAGCTAGATAAAGTCAACAATTCAAAAGTAAAAATATATACTTAAAAACATGATTAGGGAAAAAATATGTCATATGCTTTTGCACCACTAGTATCATTATTATATGCCAAAACCTTACATAAGGAGAGACCCTCCGAATTAGAAAAAAGAAGGTAGGTTCCATAAGCACAGAAGACAGCGGTGTTACGCCACCGATTTATACCGCCTCACTTAGGCTTATCTCGGCCACCCAAAGCCGGTGAGCGAACTCACATCCGCAAAAACCCCAAGAAAAGAGAGAGAAATACACAAATTAACCCCACCCAGAAACAAGCATATGGGTCGGTTCGCATTCTCACCCTTCTCCTTGTCCTCCGCTCCTTCTCCTCGCTCACATTTCCCTTCCTCAAGTTCTCTACCCTTTGCAATCCTCTAATTCATTTAGATTCTTCGGTTCCCCG